GCGTTTACAGAACAATGTTGATTTTGTTCGTTTATTTCTTCTTTAGATGAGTTGTGTAATCTAACTGCAAACTTATTACCAATTGTGCCTTTGTATACTACACGACACGCAGTTTTGTCTATTTCTCCGAATCTTGACAACATATTATATGGTGTGCTTTAGGTTCCCAAGATTTTGAACCATACCTTTTGTCAACGTGACAACAAGTCTAACTTTTCCCTCTAAGCTATACAATTTTTATTTTGACAAACTAATGTTGAAAAATGAGACAACAACAACTCTAAAATTTTTCCGTCAAGCTATTAAATCGCTAGTTTGAAAAACTAATGATTTTTTTCCAACATGTAAAATCTACCATTTTTAATTGACAAGGGCTCGGAGAATTGTGAATCGAGGAACGGATGGATTTGATCCACAAAATTTTTGTTGATCAGGCTCCAATTTTTAATTGTTTATCATTCCCAGCAACATTTATATGGGGCCTAGTCTCTCTTTCGAGTCTACCATTTTTTTTCCCTTGGTACTCCACTATATAAGATAATTAATGTTCTTTATCATTTGTACTTCTTCAACTACTGACTCACATTTAAGTAGATCCAATTTTTAAAAATCCAATGACCCAATTAAAAGAGGTCACATCCACGGGCACTCGCCTTCAAGTCCTTAGATTTTTTTTTTTAAAAGAGGTATAATTCATGAATTTGTTTCTCCTTTTTAATTAAAAAATTTGTAGTAAATCAACTTGTCAAATGAAATTTTGTAAATAAACTCTCGTGGTTACATGTAAAAAAAAGTGATACCTATTATAGTAATCAATTATGAAGGAAATATTATAAAATAGCAAAAGGCCTTCCAAGTTATATCCGAATTGCTAATTGTATATGTGAAAATCTATCTGTGAAAATCCAAACCCGCATTCGAACATAACCAAACTATATCCGACCCAATTATAAAATTTGGGTAAAATACCGCAAAAACACATTAAAATTTTGAGAAAAATGCAGTTTTGGTACCTAAACTTTGATACATGAGCGGTTTTAGTCCCCAAATTTTGGACGAAAACGAATTTGGTATCTGAATTTTCAAATTTTGAGCACATTTAGTACCCTTGACAATTTTTTCCTAAATTGTTATCGAAAAAAGTCATGTGACAGTCACATGTCCGGCCACTATTGTATAAAAAATGTCAAAAAATGTCAAATGCGATTCTAATACTAAGTTTTAAGTTTAAGGACTAATAATGTAATAAAAAAAATCCATGGACTAAATAACATCACATGATTCATTTAAAAAAATAAAAGAAGAAGGAAACGATATAAAACTCTGCCGAACTCATTTCTATCTGTATTCCATCCTCTCTCTCTCTCTCTCTCTCTCTCCAAAAGAAAACCTAAGAACCAAATTTCAACAAAAATTCAAGTTAGGCATGGCGTGATCCAGCATATGTCGAAGACATCAATTTCTTATTCCCGGTTCGTCAAAAAGCATGAATGCAATAGATTCTACTTTCAAAAGGCTAGAATCAAGACAATAAAGATTGATCTTGATACTTGTGTTCTTATAGTTGCTTTTGTTCTTGGTGGCAATCAATTGACTCATGTGATTTTATTTAGTTCTTAGGTTTTTTTATTACATTATTAGTCCTTAAACTTAATACTTAGTATTAGAATGTCATTTGACATTTTTTTGACATTTTTATACAATAATGGCTGGACATATGACTGTCACATGACTTTTTCCGATAACAATTTGGGAAAAAATCGTTAAGGGTACTAAATGTGCTCAAAATTTGAAAGTTCGGGTATCAAATTTGTTTTCGTGCAAAATTTGGGGACTAAAACCGCTCATGTGTCAAAGTTTGGGTACCAAAACTGCATTTTTCTCTAAAATTTTTCTTGTAGTATTAAGGTTTTCAAGTCTGACAATGTAAGAATGTTCTTTCACTCTGAAGATTTGAACTTCATGACACAAAATCTCTCATAAATTCAAATTTAAAATTTTTGTTTTTTGGTTATTGATGCAACTTGCAACTAGCTTGCTAATTCAAAAAAAGAAGTGCACTTATAATGTAAGAAAACTTAGCCCTTTTGAATTTTTATTTTTAAAACTTTTCATAGAAAAATATACAGTAGCGATTTAATTAATATACGCGAGATAAAAAAATGATCGAAAAATATGTTCACAGAAAACGTAAAAAATTTTCTATAAAAAACATCAATCCAAACGAGTGGTTGCCACTCTCGTATTAGGTGACCTCATTGCTAACATGGACCATTGGTGTTACATGTATAGCCAGAAAATCTTGAAGTAGTCACAACCTTTTCTCGGAAGAACCATACATTTGTGTCACACATTATTATACCAATATCTTCAACTTTATGGTCTCACCTGTCCAATGAAATGGTTTCTTCTCAGACATTTTGCTTCTTTCTACATTATGTGCTGTCATGAAACACATCAAGATAGAAAGAAAGAAAGACTGCTCAGCCTAGAAGTCCTGTCACTAAAATTCACGAGATGCACCAATCGATTTCTAAACTGCACTTGGCTAGTCCTAGCCCACAAATTGCAAGACTGCTCCTAAAAAAATCAATCCTGATCTCAACAGTGCATGGCATTGTAGGGCCTTTCACCATCTTCTAACTCCTCAAACTCTTCATCTCAATAAAATATGAACATGCATGTGATTTCTCAACAAGCCAACGGAGCCCAGAATGGGTGGCATATATTCATGGAAGCTTTCCAAATTCGAAGTTTCAACTTTCAACCACATAAGCAGATTCATTTGACAAGCAATAAACCTTTGTATGTGGACAGAGACATTTCCTTCACTAGCTTCAGAACACGTGCCATTCTCAAATGGGCTTAAAGAAACATCCATCATAGAAGCTGAAAAAAAATATCAGAGGCCGAATGATTTCTAACCCCAGATTGTGAGACATTTTGAGGACGCCATTGAGATTGTGGGAACCCACGGAAATGACTTTAATTCTAGGCCATACAACTATCTACTTCTTTAGTAATCCAAAATTGACTTGGTAACCACTCCCAAGGCAAAAATTATGGCTCATAACATCCCTTCAAGCATCTCATAAAGTTTTGAAAGCTTGCTGATAATGTATTCTTATCCTTTTTTCCTCTTTTTTCTTTTTTTTTTGCATAACTTAGTTGATCACATACTTCACGTATCGAATTCCTAATCAACCCCTAGATTCATTGAACTTATTTTAAATGTTTTTAGCTATTTTTTTCCACTTTTGGCTTTATTTATGTTTACCCGCCACACGCTATATTACTTTCTTAAGATAAAGAAAAATAAGGTTTCTCCAAAACAAAAGTCGTGCGGAATAACACGACAAAAACTTTATATTAACTAGACAAATGGCTGAAAATTAAATTCAACTATTACATGTTATGAATTAAACTCGTCAATGCGGAATCAGACACCATATTTTAAATTAGAGAATATCAAGTCGTTTCAAGTTAAAAATTCTTCATGTGTGTAAATCTATCTATAAATCTTCTCGTTTCGCAATTGGCAGAATATTATTTGACATAAAATTAACAAGAAACAACATAAGTGAAAGCCATTAAAACATTTCCTAGTAGAATTTTGTAAATTGCAAATAAGCCATGGTACCAGTTCCTCCACCAAGTTAGGTTAGGTATGCTCTCCAATTCCAAACGAAAATATCTGTTTACAATGATGTCCACACGAAACCTCTGCTTAATTGTTGCTTCTGAAATGGAATAATTGCGCTCTGCTGTGAAAGTTTAGACAAATCACTATCAATTCTTGGTGAAAGATTTTGCACCGTTAGTAACTTGTGTAAGCAAAAATGGTGTTAAGACATTAAACTAAAACTGGACGGTGACCACTGACCATTTGTCTTGTAGTGGCACTTTAGTCATTTCACCAAATTAACGGATATTAATTCTGCACACAACTGCATGTTGTGAAATAACATCAATACTGACTTGTAGTGGCACTTTAGTCATTTCACTATATTAACGGATATTAAATTCTCCATACAACTGCATGTTGCAAAATAACATCAACACGGCCTTGAGGCTTGAGCTTCGTCTATAAATTCCGCTTCTGTTTGCAACTTCTAGACAGATCAATTTTCTGCATTTTTTTCCAAGAAAGATGTGCAGAGGAAGAGAAGAAGATCAAGGCCACAACAGCCCTTCTTTATGCAGCAGAAATAAAGAAGAAGATGGATCAATAGCTTGCGAGCTTTGTAGTTCAAAGGCCTCCCTTTATTGCCAAGCTGATGATGCATTTCTGTGCCGAAAATGTGATAGATGGGTACATGGTGCAAATTTCTTAGCTCAAAGGCACATTAGATGCTTGCTTTGCTCCACATGCCAAAGGCTGACGCAGCGATATCTGATCGGAAAATCAGTTGAGGTGATACTTCCCACTGTTGTAAGGTTGAAGGAGAGCAGCCAATGTGATACTGAGGACTCTGAATCAGTGAAACAGCCCTTCTTGTTTCTCTGATTGTTCTTTTTTTTTGTCTTATTTTTCTTTTGAGTTTTGCATCTTGAGACGGTTTGAAGCTGTATTAGGTTTGGAATTGTCTATATATGCTATGACATGATAAAAATATTTTATGCTCTATTGTATTCATTGAGGTTCCTTCATGGATGGCTGGTAAAGGCAATTATGTACTGAAACAGTTTGAAGTAGTAGATTAACAAAAACATTTCTCCTGTAACAGTACTTAACTTTGCTGTTATGATATTACAAGATTGAAATTCCTGATAGTTGAAGAAGGGAAATCCATTGCTTCATAGAAAGATAGAGAACGTGCTGGTTTTAATTTATTCAGCAAAATCATATATGGGGCATGCTAGCTGAAAGGAAGATGAACCTTTGCTTAATCACTGATAGTTGATGTAGAAATCTTTTTCATTTTATTTCGATAATTGGATGCATATATTTACTCCAATTCTTGATTATCATATCTATTCGTTATGACTAGAGATTTAGTTCTTACTGAAGTTTTAAATATATCTATGAAGCAACAAATGAATTGTCTGTGTGTGTGTGTATTATATATACATATAGAGTTTTAGTACCTAATAATTTTCAATATTCAGTTTAAGCAAGCCATTTATAGGCAATTGAGCATGTTAGTTGTTGAGATCTGACAGAGGATAGGGACTTTATTAAGGTTTAAGCTTTGTTTACCCTATTGCATTTTGCTTGTGATCCTATATTGATTCTTCAGAACAGCAATATCCAGTAATGAAGAAGAGGTGTAGGGAACATGGGGCTACGGGTGTTTCTAGTTTAGGAGGCCACCAACCAAAATAACAAAACCAATTGCAATAGTTATTAGTGGTGGCAAAAAGTTGTCCTTCTATGTTACCAACTTTCCATGGGTGACAAATAATTAGATGCACCAACATACCTACATACCTTAAAATAGAAGGGGTGTTTGAGTGGCTTTATAGGTGCATATATTGTCTGTGTTGGTTGTGAACGTATATCCTTGTGGTTTTTGGTCATGGCCGGTGTGCGACCGTGTGGCCAAGGATTGTAAAAGTGCATGTGACAATTGAACACTTCGGGTGAGGAGAGTTTCCTAAATCTCCATATGAAGTATTTCATGGTTAAGATTTGATGTGCATCTCAAAAGGGACTAGTGTGTATCGTAAAGATAAATTTGCACGTCTATTTAAAGAATATGTGGTGTTCGAGCCAAATGAGGACTACGATTGCACATTTTATTTTCCAAACTAAGTTTGACATCTCAGTTCATGAAAAGTTCAAAATTAGAATGTAAGTATCTAATTTTGATAAACTTCAGTTGGTATAACTTCAATGTGGAACAAACCTGTTAACTGATGGTCCTCCAATCATTACATGGATTTTTCCTCAAAGCTTAGAGTCCAATGTTGTTGGCAGCACCTAGCTGGGGTTAGCAGATCTACCAGTGTAGTATATCAGATTTGTTTTGCTCACCCCTTTTTTGTCTACTGAAAATGGTGAGAGCTGGAGTTGGCTGTCATGATTTGGATTCCTATTGCTTCACGACTTCTATCGAGGATTAGTTCTCTTTGATCTTAGTTTTATTGGGACTCGCTTGTTGATTCAAAGATAGAAATGAAAAGCTGAAAAGCCAAAAAAGCAGAATTTGGAGCTGATTATAGCCACATCAAGAACAGGTTTGATTTACAGTAGAATCCCTAAACAATTAATTATCTCTGTCATGATCTTCCAGTTTCCAAGAGCCATCATCCTGTTGAACCATTCCTTTATTCTTTAGACACCACCAACCAGTTGGTATCAAATATTCATCTTTTACTGCATCTAAAATTTTGTTCACAAGGGAAATGTCTCTCTTGATTTCTAAGTGAAATCCTCCCTTAGATCCTTGTGTTCCTGCAACTGCGTGGAGATAAGCTGCCTCCAAATTGTGCCAGATTTCCAAGTTCCCATTACGCTTCAAGTAAGGCGATTTTCGGCTGTCTATTTGCAGCTCTGCTCCTACATCAGCGTATGGGATTGGTGGGACTTGGGGGACCAAATCTGGGATATTTCTAACTCTCAAAAGATGAAGGTCATTCATAGACTCAAATGCATTCCTGAAGTTTGAGTCTCCAACCCGTGGGCTTCCAAATGCAAAGGCTGTTACCATACAAGACTTGTTTGGCATCCCTCTAGTCTTGTTATAACCATTGGCAACAATATCAGCTGCATTCATAGTTGAAAGGGCAGCTCCCAAGCTGTGGCCAGCTATTGTGATGCTCACTTCCTCTTTCTTGAATTCCTGAACTAGTGACTTTATCGCTTCAAGAACCTGTACCAAAGTTAGAGATTGTTAAGAAATTTTTGTTTGGTGTGATGAAATACTTTTTCGTCAGTGTGTAAATATCAACAGTTGGAAAGTTTTCTGTCAATTTTCCCCCCTATTTCAAGAGTTGAAACGCTGTGTGTCAAATTTAGCTCCCTTTTCTCCCCCCACCCTCCCCACAACGTTCGTGAACATTAAGCCAATATAATTGTATACAAGTAGAAATCACCTGAACCCTTGCGCTCTGTTTGTTGTATGTTGATTGAGGATCAGATGAAGTATAAATTGAAAGTACACCCTTGTGAACCTTAGCATTAATGTCCTTTCCAAGTATCACAGATGCTGGCACCAGAGGAAAATCAAAATCCTTCGCTAATTCTATATTTCTGATTGTGCCTCTCCAGGCAACAAGAATATCTCTTCTTCCAAGTGCAATCTTCCCTTCATCAGTGGCTACAGCAACATACCCCATAAAGTTTGATTCCTTGCACACAGAATCTTTTGACAATGACTTCACGATAAATGCATCTGGAACACTAGTTTTTGATGTCGCATACAGATACTTAACAACTTTGTACTTGAACGGGTTTCTCTTATATAAACCTACGGATTTAAATAGAACATCTGGTTTGTATAGGCTGGAACCTGCATACTTTGATGCCTTTTCGTGGTCAAATGTGTCATAAGTTGCTTGAGCTCTCTCACCATAGTGGATAATGTAACGACGAAGATCAATGTCAAGTGGATCCAAGAGATTCTTCCAGTTATCCTGGCCACTCAGCAACCTCCATCTCTGTGGTATGCCCTTCAACATGGCTCTGTCAACTAGAAAGCTTGACTATGTTCAAAAGGACTTTTCTTCCTCCGTCGTCTCACATTTGTTTTATTTCTTTGCTTTTGCTTTTGGCCTTTACCTCACATATACTAGATTTCATTTTGTAAAATCAGTAAGTTTGGAACCAGTATTAATAGTCAATACATCCCCTAATTTCTAGCATTCTCCTTGATGTTTTATGTATTTCCCTAGTTTTGGAGTATCACACAATGTCTGTTTTGCAACTACTAACAATAGCACAAAAGTTTCCGTAAATCTTGTTTATTCCTAGGCACACCAAATGCATGGTTTGATGTTTAGAAGTACCTATAATTCTGTTGCTTACATTCTTTAATCTTTGATATTGCAGCACTGACAAACTGTGCTACATGGTACTTCCAACTCATAAAATCTTGCAAATAAAATAAGTGTAAAAAGAACACCAGATCAGCACATGTTCTAAACCCTCAAAAAACTAGCTCTCCAACCAGAAGCCAAGACTGTCAAACACTTAGTTTTATAATAGGGGAAAAATTCACCATAGCCCTCCAACTCTTTTCCAAGTAAAGTTTTGGCCCTCCAATAATTAACAGTAAAATTTTGGCCCTCGATCTAATAAAAGAGCATATTTATGGCCCTTCTGTCAAACCCAGCAGTTAAGATTGACGGGAAGCATCATCACGCGAGATGCACGACCAAATATCAAGGGCATTATAGTTTGTGCAGGAGCGTTTATCACGTAAAAAGGCAGTTTCTTCGTTAACTGGTGCACACTGCTAGTGCTTTTACTACTGGGCTATCTCACTTATGACCAGCACATTAGTAGCTTTGTACATTAGTTGCTATACTTGATATGAAAATGTCAATGATAAATGGTCTCTACCGGTAACAAAAGGATTTGGTCAGAACAAGCTCAAGTTTAAGAACAGTGAATATAACAAAGATAAGATAACAAACATCTCAAATAGGAATGAGTCATGGTGGTTGATAAAGCAATTGATCTGTTTAATCCTGCCAGATAAATGCTGGAAATGAAGCTTAGAAATATACAACAAAATGATTAAAAAGAAAAACCCACCAGCTATTTTGGGACTGTTTCTAGGAGAACAGGATGATCGAAATCCATCTCATCATATATGCAATTGTGCCTCTATTTACTCTTGTTAATTTATTCATAGAAAGACAAGATTATCATTTGTAGGAACTGATAATTTGTTCAAATACACCAATGTCAAGCCTGAGGACGTTGGTATCATGTTGTAACTTTTGTCAGTTTTTCAATCAGACGGCTTTGTTTTCCACCACGCATGATTGTCAATCACTACAACTTAAGAGGCAATGTATAGATGTTCTTTGAATTCAACCTGGAAGAGCAGGGAAAAGTTTGCTTATATTTGTTGGGATTTGCAACTTTTCCTACATATTTTGCTAGATTATGTTTGATATCAAAATAATTTAGTTATTAGAAAATAAGGATATTTGTTAACCAAAGATCATGTTGGTTTGTTAACAAATATTTTAGATAAGATTTGCTAGTAGTAGAAGATTATATTTTGTTGAGATTTTTAGGATAATTGTTAGTTGGATATTTTGCTAGTTTGTTTCATGTAATCACTATAAATAGTGAGTTGATGAATGTAGAACATAAGCTCATTTTCTACCTTCAATACAAGTCTCTTATAAGCTTTTTTTGCAAGTGTTGTTTCTTAGTTTATGCCCCAAAAAACCAACAATATTATTGTGTGGACGTGTGGAGAACAAGAGAAGGGAAAAGAGAAGTCGACTTCTTAGAAATTGTCAATTTCTATGTAGGGAAGCTAAATAAAACCATCAAAATTTTTCGTTAGTATTTGTGTGAGTAACCTTGAAATCATTTGCCTTTCCATGACATAGGAACATAAATCTATTTTGTTCTTGTCTGACATAAATAAAAATGTAGCTGAGATTTATTTCTGTATAATGTAAGGTCAAATTAAGAGTTACATTTGCATCCGTTGTCATAACTTAGAGCTTCACCAGCTACTGTTGAAGTTTAGTGAGGGGAACAAGTCCAGGAGCCAGAAAAAGATGGCATTTATTTATGACATTGTCATCTGCAGCTACCATCAGCCAACAGCCTGTATATTCTGCAACGCACATTTCTGTGTAAGTGCCTGATGAAGGTTCAGAAGATAGTGAAGCATTTAAAAGCTTGGTTATCTAAATCTGATCCTCTGAGCTCCTTTATTCCTGCAATGCAGCCCCATGCTATACTGGTTAAAAGACGGTATATCCTTTTGGAATGATGTTTCCAATTTAAGCTTAAGTGTATCCTGAGAGCCACCATTGTGAAGATCGTCAATACCTGCAGCAGATACCTCATCAGAAGTTGTCTACTGCTCTCCGCACTTGTTGAGGGAACGAGAACTTAATCTATTAAAACTTTGTTGTCGTTAGGTAAGAACACAGGAGCTATGAAAAAGCATTTAAGTAGAAATAGTTGCTCGAAAAATGAAAGTAGAAATCAGATGTGAATTGAAATTAATCCTTCGAATCAATGAATTTGTTGCAAATGGATCAATTCTTACGAATTTGATAGTCGAGCAACAGAAATTCTTCTCTGAACTATTAAATGCGAAAGATGAGTTGAACGATTATGTAAAAGGGAAGTAAGTTTATTGCTAAGATCATCTACATGATGATACTAATTGCAATAAAAAAAGAATTGTTCGACATTGTCAGAATTATGGAGGTGGTGGCAGATAGTACTCTCAATTTTGAACTGCAAAGGAGACTGAAACTCGAAGAAGAATTTTCATCATGAGGAAGAACTTCAGTCTTCGTATCTGACTGGAAACCATTGAAATACAAATACCTGGAATGATAGGCAGTTGAAAAATGATGCATCGATTGAAAATTTAGGAAAACTTGATGTAGGACTGACTGCAACTGTTTTCCAGGAAGAATTGAGTTAGCTTGATTTACATATGCTGACAAAAGATTTGGCCAACTGCACAAAAAATGAATTGTTACCCATGAGTTTCTGCAAGGGTCTCCATTTTTTCCAAGACATTTCCACCATAATCATCAGATAAGCATTCATCCAATTGTCTGGCCTGCAAACATAAAAAGTGGTGATGACTCATTTTGTCACTTCCAGATGCATAGGATACATGTATCAGTTCTCATGAAATTACAAAAACAAATAAGTTGGAAGTGGTTTAATCTTCTTCAATATGCAAAGACAAAACTCAATGAGTAATGGCAATCTGTTATAAATAAAGCAATTTATGCTTTTTCTATCTCTTTTTGCGATCCTATCTTGCAGATATCATCAAGAAGTCTTGCACCAATAGTTTTTAGCTTTGCATTCTTCTATGTTCTTTTGACAAGCATCATACGTTTATGGAACTGCAATTGTGCATCTTCATTGTTTTGAAAATCAGGTATCTTTTGAACAGAGATTGCAAGAAGAGTTGAAAATGGTCCATTCAACATACCTTACACTCTTGTGCAATATGTTTAAAGAAAGGCTGCAAAACCTGCAACACATCTCAGAATTCCCTTGTTCTAAGTGGATCATAGTCATAAGCTTCACCAGCCTTAACAAATCTTCCCTTGACACGTTTTCTGGTATCCGCCCTAGCTTTGCGAGAAGCATATCGTATTTGCTTACCAAACCTTCAAAAACAATATTTCAGGTCTCAATGGACGGCAACATAATATCTGTTGTTAAATCCCAAGAGAAAAACAATATGTGTTGTTAACAAAAGGCAAACTTATTGGTTTTTGCAAGCCAGCATGATTAACCGTTAAAATGCAGAACCAAAATAGGCACAATTTATCCACATACGTTCTAGTTTTCTTTTTCTCGTTGTATCTCATCTTAGCTTTATCCCTTGCCTGTGGACAACTAGTTTCCAGACCAGAATCCCATGGTGATTCACCAGTGAGAAATGCCGGTGATAATCCACAGTCTTGATAATCAGCAGCACTACTTTCTCCAGTAATGTTGGATAACGACAAAGATATGCTTGAGGGAACTTGTCCTGTTGGAAATCCTAGGCCAATATTCCTATTGCAGCTGGGATTCATAAGCATGCAATTAGGGCTGGCATTCATAGTCTGCATCAGAGAAGCTGATCCAACAATTCTGGAGGATTGAAAACCGATGCCCTCTGCTTGTCCTGCTGAAGATGCCTAATAAGAGTAAACAGTCTAACACTTAGGCTATTAAATGAAACTCGAGTGTATCCATGTAAACAATGTTAAGTTTTTCATGCATTTCTGATAAGATGAATTTCAGATTTTTTTTAATATCAAAGTATAAGCTCGATCGGCTCAAAAACAAGAAAATGTACAGCAATGAGTAATGTGTATGTGTGTATCTGATACAGGACAAGACAAGTATCAACAATTTGAAGACAACCTCGAAAGTATTCTCAACATGACCGTTAGACTCAGAGACCGACAAGTTTTTCTCCATTACAAGACCGCTCAATGCTCCATCCTCACTGTTGTATCTGGAGTGAACTTCTGAGTTGCCAGGAATCTCATAGCCACTGTCAAATATCAATGCAACATCATCAACGTCAACACCTTCACAAAGAACATCACCATCTTGAAGTCCTAGATCCTTAAGATTGGGAGAGCCCTGCGGCAACTGAAATTGTACAAGGCAACATTTACGAAACCAAGCTAAAGAAACAACATGAAAGATATAGTCTAAAACCTTTATATTACAAAATCTGTGAAAGACAGATTTTGCAGCATGCATATCTGCCGTGCAGATACCAAAGGGGAACTAAATTTATGAATGACAGCGCCAAAACAGAAAACTGAGGCTGATAAAAGCGCCTAAAAGCCAGATCACCTTAGGTAGGGATGATCCTTCAGAGAAAAGAGGTGTCTGATCTCTACCGCATGGCACAATGTGGTCTAGATTGGCTGGAATTACAGGAGGAGGAGTGATCCATGGTTCAAACTTGACACAGGATGCTAGTTCATTCAACCTGTTAGCA